ATTTTATTATAAAATAAAAAGTTAAAAACTTAACTAAATATTGAGTAAATAAATTTTAAATAAGTATACATAGATTTTTTAAAATCAGCTTTATCAGATCCACCGGTTGCCGTATATTGGGACTTTCAAGGATTTATTATAACAAAAGAATATTTTGCAAACAATTTGCAAGTGATCATAGAACATTTGGAAAAGTCATCGACAGAAAAGATTGGATATGTAATTTCAATTCCCGGCGACATGAGACCTACTATTTCTGTTTTAATGACAAAATTTAGAAGCAAATATAAGGAAGCAGCTCAACGACAAGATTACTTTTTCAAAAAGAACAAAAACTGGTTAAAAACTTCAGTATATTTTCAAGTTGATGCAAAACGTGCATCTGTAAATAATACTTTGAAACTTGATTTGATAGGTCCAAAAGGAAGACAAAAGAGATGCGTACGAGGTTTAGTCCTGCCGAATCATTGTTTGCTATGCAAATGAGTCTTCTATTAGACCTAAATTTGACGAAAGATTTGTACCAGCATTTGAGAAATCAGGCAAAAAAAAAATACATTTATCTAAAACGTATTTATTTATTTAAAAATACATAAATACATTTTATCCTCCTTACTCAGCAGTATTGACAGCAAAGAAATGTTTCTCCCCTCGACGATACCTTAAGTTTTACCGAATCAAAAGCTGAGGTACACTTGCAAGCTTTATTAGACCACACCGTTCAACGTGTTTTACTGCTGAACCAAGACAATATTACATATAAGATTGATTCAGAAATATTGAATATAATTTTGATTTGTCAGTGGGGTTTTGACAAAACATCCGGACAAAACATTTATAAAATGACTTTTGAAGGTCCAAATATATCAGATGCAAGTTTTCTTTTTACTTCGCTTGTTCGATTGCAACTTCTAGGTGTAAATCAAGAAACAAAAGAAGAAAATCTTTTATGGAGTAATTCGAAGCCATCTTCAATTCTCTTTAGTAGACCTCTGAAATTGCAATTTACAAAGGAAAAGAAAAACAACTCCAACCATTAAAATCAACCATTCATATGAAAAATGTTTTTATTCAATACAGTTTAAGTATGAACATGTTAGATGGTAAATCATGCAATGCATCAACACAAAATCTGCACAACGTTGTTATCTTTGCCAGGCAACTTCCAAGCTACTGCTGTATTCAATTGGGGTACAAAATGAATGAATACGACTTTTATTTGAAAACACTCAAACATTAACGTTGATAATTAGTGTTTCCAAAATAATAATCCACCGTTTTCATATAATTTTGCAAACAATTTCGAGTGGACATGAAATTGACGTTGAAAAGATTTGAGATTACGCCTTAGCAACTGCAAGACACAAAAAATATCCCTGGTACAACATGCCAACATCAGTACATAGATTGCTGATCCACGGACCAGACATTATTTCTTCGGCCATTTTACCTATTGGTTAACTGTCCGAGGATGCTCAGGAATCAACCAATAAGTTAATAAAGCAATATCGTTTAGATTTTTCTCGAAAGTTTTTAAGAGTTAAGACTGTGGAAGACGTGTTCAGAAGATTGTTGGCAACCACAAATATTTCATCTCTATAAAAATTAACACCAAAAGGCTGTTGCCCTTATAGTTCCGTTTATTAAGATTATGAAGACTCTGACGCAGATGCCGAGGAAACAGACTCTGAATATAATGAAGATTTTAACAAAGAGACAAATAAAGATGAAAATGAACCAAAATGATTATAACTGAAAGAAAATGTTTTTTTTATATTTAACATTATCTTCCATTATTTAATCCATTTTTTAGCATTTACGGACACATATGATTCACAATTTTTTTTTTAATTTTTTAAACTTTTTTATCAAATTCTTAATTTGTGGCCTAAAAAGAACCCTTTAAACCCATTTATAAACAATTTAAATAATTTTTTAACATATATGTCCGCCATATTGAATCCACCATTTTTTTTTTTTTAAGAATTTTTAATCAGTAACCTCACGGTCAGGAAGGAGGCGTGAGCTTCCTAGTTAAATGCATTTCCGCGGTACTCTGCAATAATACCGTTAAGTCTTCTTGGGGGCACCTATATAACAAAATAAAAAAAAGAAAAAGTATGAAATATATATATATATATATATATATATATATATATATATATATATATATATATATATATATATATATATATATATATACATATAAACAAATAAAACTTAATAAAAAACTATTATTGTCTACAACTGTTTGCCAAAATGTATTCAAAAAATAGATGCGAATAGAACCTCGTGAATGGAATAAATAGACTTGGGGACAAAAAAGATACTCAGGTATGTTTTCAGTTGGGTTTTATTTTTAAAATCTTTACCACGTAGATTTTTGCTTAACAAATAAAAAAATTTATGATCAGTCAGGGCTAAGTTAGGTGAATACGCTAAATGTAGTCGAGCGTTGTTATTGAAAGATATTATTGTTGCTCTCGGCGATCAGTTGAGAGATTTTGCTTGAGTTTTTCTAGTTGAGCACAATAGACATCAACAGAGGCAATTGTGTTTGTAAAAAGAAACTCCCATTATGAAATACCATGTACGTCCATAAGACTGAAAGCATTATTATTTTGAATGAAGTTCAGATTTTGGAGTCGGTATTAGCTTTTTATTAGGGTTGAGCAATTGGCGATAAATATATAGAACCCTTTTCTCATCATCTGTAATAACGTTATCTAGCTGTATTTAAATTCAGGGTAAAAAAACGTGAGTTATTAAGCCTTTCATTGGGTTGTAATTTGTCTTGAAATATTTGCCTATTGCAGAAATTTCAAGACAAACTACAACCCAATGAAAGCTGCTACGTGAAATTGCATGGCGGCTTTTTGCAGCAAATTTTGTGTTCGTCTTGTTTCATTTTCATATTTAAGTATAGATGGCATCGCATTTTCTACCCATCCACTCCTTCGTTACTGTTGGCCAGGGTTATCGTCAGCGAAAGATTGTGTATCTACAGTTTTTGAGGTTAATGTTATTGTTAAGTGTTCTGGGATATTTTGTTATTAGTTTCCAAACACACTAAATAAATTACTACTTTATTCAACGCTTTACTCTTGTATAACCAACTGATTGCGAATCTCCTTTTTTATAACTAAGTTTAAGAAAAGCCTGTCTACGTTTATGAAAGCTTTGCTGATGAAAGCTTTGCTCTTTTATAAAAGCTAGCTGAATATTTAATTAAATGCTCTGCAATGTTCCATGGTCTAACATCGAAAGTACAAGACGTTTAGCTTTAAATATGCGAAGAGAGATTATATAAAGTTCTCACAAAAATTATTAAAATGGAAGTCTGCAGAACCTGATTGATACTCGCAATTCATGAAATGTCATCCTAGTCTATCAATACGATTATCTGAAACTAAGATTCTTGCTTGAATGACCAGTTTTAATAGAGTAACATTATCAGGCTTTCAAAATAAACTTAATCTTATTATACGATACAATTTCACAACATCCCAAATTTAAAATCTGGATGTAACTGGAGCAACCATAGCGCAGCGTATTTCTAAAAGTATAGCTCAAAAAAGGTACCAAATGACGTCACAAGAAAGAGGAGAATTGGCAAACATACAGGAATCGGCTGGTCATGCCTTATCATCTGTTTGAATTTTTTATCGCAATCACTTTGATAAAAGAAAAATGATCCAAGGTATTTGACACTCTGCAGAACTTGGTTTGGTTAACCCTTTTGGCTGAATGACAAGTAAGAATTTTGTTGAATTATTTTTCTCAGAAAACTAGTTGTTCTCCATAAAACAAGGTCTTATTGATCATGAACATTCATAAGTCCCATATCTGTATATATACTGAATTGCAGAAAGTAAAATTTAGTTGTTGTTCTTATTCAGCGACCACATACATCAAATAAACTTTAACAATAAGGCAGAACTGCATTTTGGCCAATTAAGTATTTTAACAATAGTGATGCGGATTCATAGATGTTATCACACCTTGGTCAAACTGTTAGCATTTATGATAACAGTTTGAATTTGTCTTCAAAGTTGTGATAGAGCTGCCGCTCCTACCCTGAAGGAATAGCAGTTCTATCACAACCTTGGAGACTTTTGTTTTTAGGTTTTTCTTGTAATCTCTTTATCTTGTAATCTCTTAAAGAAAAATAGACATCCCTCTGAAACTAAAAATAAACTTCCAAATTTTAAAACTAGGTTGAGAAAAAATTTCCTGTTGTACTCCAAAACCAAGAGGGGAGAAAAAGATTCTACAGGCAAAAATCTCTTAAAAAAGCAATCCTTTGAGAACCATCATCAAATGATTCAAAGATTTTCTGAAAATATGATTTATTTTGAGGTGCAGTTTGAACGAATACCAATTTCAATAGTTTATAAATGAAAAATAAAATCTCATTGTTGAAATTGCCTTTTCATTAATTTGATGCCCATAATCCTCTAAACATGTCCAAAGTCAGGGTTGAACTTTGTACATTTGACTAGCATATTTAAACATTAAAAATGTAAAGAAAGTTCAAATATTAAAAAATACCTTGTATCTTTTAATATTTGAATTTTTATATTTTTTGAATCATTGACAATAGTTATTATTTATCGCAATATTTATTAAATAATCCCAATTAAAGTGAAAACTATCCGAGGTTTCCCCAGACTCCCCTCTTGGTCATTGGTCTTGGTCAGACTCCCCTCTTGGTCTATTTTTTAGAGATTACAAAATAAAACAGAAGTTAAACCATTCTATAGTTAAAACATAGCTAGATTTAATCTTAAACAAAACATATGAAATTTAGAACACGAGAAGACAAAAATAAAATCCTGCATGTTTTAACTTCACAAATGAGATATAAAATAACACTCATATATTAACATTCTTCAAACTAAAAATAAATAATCTCTTTTTTTGTTGTTAATTAATCTTTAGTTGTTTTTAAAAAAAGAAGTTTGCAATAATACTATTTAGTGGAGATTATATATGAATGACATTGCAATGATTTTATTAATTCGCAATGCTTCTTAAAATGTCAGTGTTCGTAAACGTACGCATTACAAATTTTATGGATTCTTAAATCAGATTTTGTAATCAATATGATCGTGTTTAAAGCATTTTTATTTTTTCAATTAATTTATATTACTTCGCCATTACTAATAAATCAAAGATCAGATTGGGGCAACGTACAGGCAAAAAGTGATGACGCGTGCGTTTCGATTACTTTAAACAAACCAATTCAGCTTAGGTCAAATAGTTATCAGACGTTTTATGTAAGTAGTTTAATAATTATTTTATACTTATCAAATAAATATTATACCACTATAAAAACTGACATTTTTGATATTTATAAACTTTATATAAAAAGAGCTTAATATTTAGAACTATGATTTAAGGGAAAACAAAAAAGGATTAAAAGCTTATTATAGTTAACGAACCATATGAAGAAGTTTTTAATCAAAACGTGGCATAAGTAATTCTGATTTTATGTGCCGTTCTGAATATTATGTATTTTAAAACGATACATAAAATCAGAATTGCTTATACCACATTTTAAATTATATAATATATAATTTCAATAATAAGTTGCTCATGAATTTCAACTTATTTTTAATTTAATTATAATTTATGAGTTTTAAAGTTGTTGTTTTATTTAATTATTTGTTATTATTAAGTTGCTGTTTTTTTTTAACTAAGTTGGCGTATATTAATAAAATACGTCATACCGCGTAGTCGGCGTAAAAAATGCAAACACGTCATACCCCGTATTGATAATTAACTCTTTTGAAGAATTTTATTACAACCTTTTAGTAATCAGCAATAATATTTAAAATAATTATTGCAGGTCTGAAAAGAGTGCAACGTACGCTATTAAATATAAAGACCTGCGAACTATTTTGAACTTTTTAAGACATTACAAAGCGTCTGATAGCTTCACCCGGGTGTACTAAAGACCTTATCTGGCTTTTACTATATTTTCTTCTAAGACACACGATAAACTACTTCTATACAAATTATAAGCTCTCCGTTATTTTTTGTTGCAAAAGTATAAGGTGATTTTGGAAGAAAATACTCTTTTATAACGCCTGATAACTTAAATGATAAATGTTAAACGTGCAGACTCAAGATAACACTTTTTTTTCTGAATAAGTTTTTTCTATTGCAATTTGTTTAATTCTTTTTTAATATTTTAATACAATTTTACCGATTCGCAGAAATACATCATAAAAGTTAAAACATTCTTTTACTCTATTTTGTTAATAGTGTTATAACAAAATAGAGTAAAAGAATGTTTTAACTTTATGACGTATTTCTGCGAATCGGTACGTTAACGTTAACGCACGTAACGTAACGTAAATAAGTTAACGTTAACGTATTTAATAAAAACTACAATTAGTATTTTGATGTGTATATAATAATGATAAAACCGTTTTATAAATACAAATTAAGTTAATTAAGTTATACTACGTCGTTTAAGGAGTTCCCATCCAAAACTAGACAAATTTATATTTAAATACTTTATCATATCTTGATATTTTTAATTCCTCGATTTCTCTTGGCAACATTCTAACGTCACTAACGTAGTCTACGTCAACAAGGGTCATGGCTCACAGAATATAAAAAATTTCTTTAGAAAAACTTTTTAGAGGTTTTTTAATTTAAATTAGCTTGTATTTTCAACTAAAAAAGGGACTGTCTGGTATAGCAGCACTTTCTCAATACAAATGATAGCAGTGCTAGTATTACAAAATGCACTATTATAATGGTTATTAATGCACAACATTATTTACTATTGATATCACCGTGTCTTTTATTTCATTGCAGTTTATTCTTGACTATAACACTTGGTTATTGCTATTGCACAAAGTCAAAACCACTGTATTAAATATTTGCTAAAGACACGCCAGGTCATCTTAAGTAACAGCAGTTGCAGTCATTTCAGAATTATCTGTTTCAATAATAGATTCATTGTCCAGCTAGGAAATTATTCTAAAGTTAGTAAGCTAACTCGAAAACAATTTCCCAGATTTCGCCAAAAGTCGCTTAAAGAAGGTTTTTAATTTCCGCAATTTTCGCAATTGAAATTGTCGGAAGCTTGTCACTTTTTTGGCTTCACCTTTTGGCTTTACCTTTGAATTGAATAATAGTCAATTAATTAACAATTCTAATTAATTGACTATTAGAAATTATAATAAAACATATAAGAAATTATAATAAAAGTACAAAGAATTTCTTTGTACTTTTATTATAATTTTTCTCTCTACTAATAGTTATAACGCAAATTCCTTTTGAGTCATTAGCGAATCAACGAGTATCATATTTAGTTCTTGCAGTCCAACAAGTGGTTTGTTTTGCATTGGAGCTTTTTATTTGTTTTAACAAAAGGGTTAAGATAAAATTTTATAGTTAGAACAAAATTGTATTATCAAAAATCTGCTTGTTGAGGTTAGATTTTTCTTACTAATTGTCTAGTGACTTTATTTATTAAAAAAAAATTATCGTTTGAGAGACATATAAAGTTGTAACATGCAAGTCACATAAGGTTAAACCATACATACATACATACATACATACATACATACATACATACATACATACATACATACATACATACATACATACATACATACATACATACATACATACATACATACATACATACATACATACATACATACATACATACATACATACATACATACATACATACATACATACATACATACATACATACATACATACGGCAATGGGGCAAGATGACACTTTATTAAGGCTGTGGAAAAAAATTTGTTCATTTATTTGAATAAGTAAATGTTAATATGTTTAGCATCACAAGGACTACTCTAAAATGTTCATGTAAAATTAATTTTACTACCCTTGAAAATAAATTAACAAGCAAAAAAAGTTGTTAATATGGTCATCAACTCCTGCTGTAGTATAAACAAATGACAGCAATATTACAAGCGAGAACAATTTTCTTTCCCCAAGAAATTTGACAACAACAGCCTTTATTATTTTCAACTATTAACTATTGTAGAAATCAGTAATTATTAGTAGTTTAAACTACTTTAATTTTACAAATAGTATATTTAACATTTTTTAATACTTGCAATACAAAATTAATGTTAAAAACAGTAATAATAAACACTTCGTATACGAAGTGTGTAGCCAAGTTTGAAAACATATTTCATAACATAGCTAGAAGTATAGCAAACAATTTTTTTGATTTGTATATGCAGAAAGGGTTGAAATTTCAATAATTTGGTGCGGTTTACAAAATTAATACGATTTTCATTGTTTAATAATAAAATTAAAAATATAAATGCATAAAAAAATAGTTAAAAATAAAAAATAAGCAATCAGAAATTAGAAAGAATAGACATTTATTTATAAATGTATATTTAAAATTTATAAATTTATTTATAAATGTTCCAAATTTCAACCATGAGGCATGTAGCTATGTTATGAAATCTTAGTTGACCCAAGTCAGGTTTTCCGTAAAAATCACAAAAAACAGAAAAGTGATCCCAAATCGTTAGCAATATTTAAACATTAATATTTTTATTTCGTCCAATGTAAATATTTATTTAAAAAAAAGATAGGTCTTTTATATATTTTTTTATTTGAAGATGAAAGCGCTTATTGGAAAAAAACACTTTTATTTTAAAATTAGTGCATTTTTAAACTTTATTTGTGGAAATTTTTTTGATAAACACAAAAATAACTGTGACGTCAAATTCGCTTTTATATTGAGTGAAACAGCCGTGCCCAGACAACATTCTGTTTTACAGTTTTTTATTGTGTTTTACCAAGATGAAATTTTCATTTTTTTTTTCACTTATAGAAAAGAGCATTTGCAACAAACTTCAGATCAAAATTTAAGCAAGAACGATTTCCTTTACAAATAAAACAAAAATAGTAAAACGTTACTTAGCTGTTAAAAAATTGCAGATGTTTAATTAGAATTTTAAAAAATGGCTAAAGTTGGCCAGTTACCCTGGTTTACAGTACCATTTTGGCGTAAATAACTTTTGATCGGATAAAACGGAGATAGCAAATTATAATTTTAATTTTTAAATAGGAATAAGGAGATGAAACAAAATGTAAAGTCAGGTAGAGTAAGTTAATTTTTTTTTCCGATTTATTTGTAAAAAATAAACATTTTATCCATTGAAAGAAAAAAAATTAATCTAACTCAATTTTTTTTGGTTTGTGGAGATATGAAAAAATAATTCTAACCTTGCGAAAATTTAACTTCCTGAGAATCGAAAATTTTCTAAGCAACAATGGAGTGCCATCTGGCGGCAAAAATGGTAACCCTCAATCAATAAAATTTTTTTGAACTGAGAAATACTCAAAAAAAAGGTTAGCACGTTTTTATTAAACACCGTCTAATTCAAGTTTTCAAATGTGGTAGGTTGATTAGTCGCAAAGTGTATTTTTAAAGTTAAGAAAACTTTATGTTTGTTTAGTTAGTTTACAAAAAATTAAACGGAAAGGGGAAATTAACTGATTACGTTAATCTCAAATTGAAAAACTGTTGTAGCATGATCCTTTGGAAAAATACCAGGGGCAGATCTAGGATTTTTTGTGGGTGATTCAAAATTTTTTATTCAACCCCTTCCGCTTAACAAGGCGTTAAAGTGTTGTCTATTTAAAAGGTGTAGTGGCAGTAGCCAAACAATATTTTTATACGCTTTGTTGTCAAAGGAACTTTGCTGTCTAGATGTGATTAATAATTCATTCTTCTGGCCCACTATGTTATGGGGTAGTATTACAAAATTTAAATTAATTAAAGGGTGATACAAACCATAAACAACTAAAAATATTAATAAATATTGCTAATATTAATTATTGAAAATATTTAACTTTTTTATGTTTCTTTTGGTCATTTGCGAAGACAGGATATTTTGATGTTTCAGATATAACAGTACCAGTACTGTGCAAACTACATTCGTATGTAAAATGAGAATGTTTTGCAAAAAAATGCAATTATTAAACCCTTGTAACAAAAAAAAAATTTCACTTTTCTTACCCTAAATGCGAGGCTAATTAGTTAATAAAATATACTCTTTTAACAGATTGTGCCAAATTTAAATTCTTTGACAGGTTTTAAATTGCAATTTTTTCAAAATTTTTTAATTGACATATACATGAACATACTTAAGTTTGTAATTTGCACGTCTGAAAGTATCGTATCTATCATTTATATTGTAAATGCACAATGTCTGAAAGTATCATATATATCATATATGATATATCATATCATATATGAAACATTAAAAATAAAAACCTACACCACTGCTTTTGGTGTATCCATTATTCATGGATAAATTTTATCCATGAATAATGATTGTAAAATTGTTTGTTTTGTTCACAGGTCAGCAACAATGGTGGTATATTTACACAAAGTTACACTACGATGATTGAATTTAATCCGTGGACTAGTTTTCCACCAGATAGCCTTTTGGTATACTGGGCGGATGCAAATTATCTACGTCAATGCACGGATGTTTTATGTGGGATGTACATTAATCAAAATCCCTCAAATGCACTTTTATCAATAATCAACAATACTATTAAAAATGGTTTTTCTGCGGATGAAAAGAGAACAATAATTGTAACATGGTATAAAGCTCCATTATACGCCTCAGCGTCGCTTAAGCAACTTGTAAGAGTTATTTTTATCTTTTAAAATAGTAACTGTAAATAATTGTAATTATGAATAATTAAATGTAAATAGTAAATATTTAACTGTTGTTCAATTTAGCTGCTCAGATTTTTGTCAACCTTTTAAATTTTGCTTTAACCAATTAAACATATAAAAATTATTCATTTAAATAATAACTATAATAACTAGGTATTAATCGACGGGATTAATAAAGTTTCGAAGCATTTAGAATAATTTCTTAAAAATACTGAGGTAAATAAAAAAGTTTAAAAGTGGTTTAATGGTCTTTAAATAAATGGCAGATTTATGACTAGAAACTAGTCTCCCGAGTCACAAGTCATTGACATTAAAGTCGAAGTCGAGTTTAAAGTCTTATTTTATTTTGTAAAGTCAAATCTAAATTCATTATATTTGTGACTTGAGTCCAAGTCTCATTTTTACAGCTCTGGTATCTAACCTAGATAATTGCGGTCTATATAATCTTGAAAATAATAAAAGTGCATCTTTTAATATAATTAGTGCCGTAACTATGACGTAAAACCAGTTTTTAATATCACCTTCTTTAATAATTTAATCTTTTTTAACACCATCAAATCTTTAAAATCATCTATTCTTCAATCTATCACATCTTTAATATTTCTCTTAAATTGGATACTTTTACAGAGAAATTAAAAATTGCACAAGGCTTATCTATTTTTACGTCTGATGATAAATGGCTCGAGTAATTCAAGTTACAAACCAATATCGGTTCTACCGTGCTTTTCTAAGTTACTCGAACATATAATCTATCATAGGCTTTACCACTAAATAACGTTAAAAAACATTTTGTACAACAAGCAATTTGGTTTTATAAAAAATCGTTCAAATTAAATAGTAACCGTATTTAAATAGTAACGTATTTCTCTAAAAATCAATAAAACTGAATTTAGTTATTTTTCATCTTCCAAAAAGAAAAATAATAATGTGAAAAAAGATTGATAATGATAATGTGAAAATTATGATTAACTTTAAAAGGCTTTTCCCATCTAAATATATTAAATACCTCGGGGTATTTCCTGTCAAAAACCGGTTGTGGTACTATCAACTAATTCAATTAAATAAGAAAAACTCTCACGTACTAATAATATGTTGTCATTAATGCGATACTATGTTTCCCAACATGCTCTAATATCAATTTACTATTCTTTGTTATCCTCACATCTAAGTTATTATTGCACTGTTTGGGGTCAAAAAGGTAGTTTTCTATTAAATTGTATAAACACTTTACTACGCACTTTCATAAGAAATATGACATTTTTTTATTTTACGATCTAATATCCAAAATAGGTTTTCTGAATTAAAAATTCTAAAATTTCAAGATCTTGTAAAGCTTTACAAAAGTCTCTTTGCGTTTGATTTTCTTCAAAATAAACTTCCAAATTCGTTTAATAATTTTTTTATCAAAACAAGTATTTATAAGACACAAATATTACAGACTGAAAATTTTAACTTGTACACTTCCTTTTTAACACTATTTTTTTTTTTTTTTAATTTTATTTTATTTTGCTGTTTTTATAAATTACAATTTCCTTTCACCAAAAATAAAATATAATTACAAATGTACAAGTAATCAACAGTCAGGGGCTCAAAGAAGATATGAATGGCAAAATACCAACCTAATCTTTTCATAGAGCCCCTACAGATCATAACAATAATATATGGTAATAATAAATCAAGTAGAAAATAATAAATCAAGAAAATAATAAATCGATAATAAATCAAGTAAAAAATAATAAATCAAAAATAATAAATCAAGTAGAAAATTTAGGGAAAAAAAAAAAATTGTAAAAAAGAAGATATAATATTTAAGAATAAAAATAGAGAAAAAAGAAGATGTATCAATTAAAAGTAAACACCCTCAATTAGTCAAAAAAGAAGATATAATATTTAAGAATAAAAATAGAGAAAAAAGAAGATGTATCAATTAAAAGTAAAAACACCCTCAATTTGTCAAAAAAGAAGATATAATATTTAAAAATACATATAGTGAATAAAGAACATATAGTAAAATATATATATATATATATATATATATATATATATATATATATATATATATATATATAGTTAAAAAGATATAATAATAATAAATACTAATAGTCACAAAAAGTTATAAAATAATATATTTAAATACAAATTTCCAATTAAATATATGATATTATATTCAACATATAATATATAAAGATTACATATAATATTTAAAAATACAAACTGTCAAATAATCAGATGTAATGCTAAAAAAAAATTTGTTTGTATAATCAAAAATAAGAATTAATCCGTAAGATTTAGAACGTAAGTTTTTATTTGAAACTGAAATGAATTTAAAGATTTTGCCATATTTAAATTGTCTTTCAGAAAAGAGTTCCATAGCTTGGGACCTCTATAAGTTATACTATATTCTGTGTATTTGTTTACTTTTTAAGGTAATTTATATGTGTTACTTTGATTTATTCTTAAGAAATACTTCTCATTTAAATTTTTATTAAATTTACTTATAAAGATTTCAGGAGTTAGATTATTGGTATATTTATACATAAAGTTTAGGTGTTGGAAAATATTTATCTGATATATATTCATCATTTTCATATCCATCATTAGAGGTTTAGTGTGGTCCCCCCTTTTTTTGTTGTATATAATTCTACAAGTATGTTTTTGTAAGGAAAGAATTTTGTTAAGTTTTGTTGGTGGACTTGCCCACGTAATATTTGCATAAGTAATGTAACAATGAATTAAGCTGAAGCTTTAGACTATGTGAATTTAAATATGGGCGATTTCAATACATAATACTAATGGTTCTACTAATTTTTGATTGTATATGTTTTATGTGTGGGAGCCATGATAAATGATCATCCACAATAACTCCTAAAAACTTTATAGTATCTTGTTTTTTAATTTGTTTATAATTTATAATAAGTTTTGGCAGTTTTAGAGGAAGGTTTTCTTTTTGTGTTTTTTTATGAAACAAGGTATATTGTATTTTTTCAACGTTAAGAGAAAGTTTATTTGACCTGAACCAATCATTTACTTTTTCTAATTCAATGTTCATGTCAGCATAAAGTTGATTAATATTGCAGTTAGATAAAAATAGATTTGTATTGTCTGCAAACATGATAGCATTTAGTTTTAATGATGCATTATTAAAATCATTAACATAAATTAAAAATAAGAGCGGTCCAAGGATCGATCCTTGAGGCACTCCACACAGAATATTCAGTATTCCAGATTTCTTGTTTTGAACATATTGTTTTCTATTAGATAGATAACTTTTTATCCAATGATATAATTTATTGCATACCCCGTACCATTTTAGTTTTTCTAACAGAATAGAGTGATCAACGGTGTCGAATGCCTTTGATAACGGTGTCGAATGCCTATGAATACTCCGAGAGTAAACTTATCATTTTCAAAACCATCAGTTATTTGGTTGACTAACTCAATAATGGCATGTTCTGTTGAATGTTTTTTTTGAACTCCGAATTGTTTTGGATTAAAAAATTTATTTTTTGTAAAATAATCAAATATTCTATTATAAACTACACGTTCGAAGATTTTTGAGAAAACAGAAAGTACCGATATGGGTCTATAGTTTGATACGTCGGCGCGATCATTATTTTTATAAATTGGGTATACTCTCGCAAGTTTAAGTATATCAGGAAATACTCCTTGATCTAAAGATAGGTTTACTATGTGGAACAAATGTTTTGTAATGGTTTTTTTGTTAGATATAAGGATATTACTGGGATATTACTATTAAATATGGCAACCCAGGAAAAAAAGAATTCTAAAAATTTCTATTGAATTTCTATAGAATTTTTGTTAACTTTTAAAAAATTTCTATAGAAATTTTTTTATCCTTTTTTTTTTATTGAAAAAAAGTTTTATAGCAATTTTTATAGAAATTAACAGACATCCTATAGAAATTCTATAGAGTTTCTATAGGCCATATGTTTCAAAAGTTTATTAAAAATTCTATAGAACTTTTTTTCCTGGGAAGCTCTCTATAAAACATCAATGTATTTCACAGGAAACAAATAATACCATTTATAAGAACAAAAGATTTTAACTAAATACCCTTTTATTACCAACATTCTTCTAGTCAATCGAAACTAAAGTAAAAACTTTTTATTTGAATATATATTAAATGAATATTAATTTATCTTTTATCATTATTTCTTTTTTTATATTACTGTATCTATAAAACTATTGTTACTTCTAATATTATTATTATTATATATTATTATTATTAATAATAATAATAATAATAATAATATATATATATATATATATATATATATATATATATATATATATATATATATATATATATATATATATATATATATATATATATATATATATATATATATATATATATATATATATATATATATATATATATATATATATATATATATATATATATATTAATACTAATAATATTTATGAAACTATTACTATATTAAACTATTATACTGGTTTTTATTGTTTAACTCTTCTAGTATTATTACTATTATCATTAAGTTATCTTTATTTTAGAAGCCTTATTAATATTATTTATAATAATAATGATTCCATTGTAGTAATAGTTTTATAGTTATTGTCATAGTTTTTGCAAATTTAATCTTCAGGTTTTTCTATGTTTTTGATGCGACACTTTAAGCTCAAAATTAAGTATGTTTATGCTTATGTTAAATCATAATATTTTTCAAAATATCTCAGTGATTGGAGGCAAAGAATAAAAGTACCCCTAAAGATTTGCTCTCCCAAACTTGAATATGAGAAAAATGAGTTATTAAAATGTATTTTTAGGCGTATTATACTAAACTTAAGTTCGTCGACAATTTTTGAATTTTATTTAATAATATTTAAGTGTTCAAAAAGTATGACCACGTAAAATTTACAACCATTTCATTTTGATTTGGTGGAATTTTTGCATGGTCATACCTTTTAAGTTTTAAAAG